ACGTCAGTCTTCTGCTGCCAGGCCCAAGAGGTCCGTGAGGCCTTCACTCTGTTGAGAGTGGGAGTGGGAGACTGACCGACCTTGCAGAGACAAAGAGTGGCAGTTGTCCTTTCAGTGTCCATTCTGGCCACGTTGTGGACAGGGTCCTGGTGGCGGGCGAGGTGAAGGGCAGTTTTTTGCCCAGTGTCATGTCTGGTTGCACTTGAAGCAGGCCCTGGAGGCGTGTGTTGTTGTCCGGCCCATCTCGAAGTTGGAGGTGGTGGCCTCAGGGCAGCCGCCAAGAGCTGGGCCTTTCACTGGTCTCAAACCTCATCTCAGTTATTAAATACCTTAAATGCCATGTTCAAAGATCTCCCTGGGGGGTTTGAGGGCCACGCTCTGCCTAAGTTTTCTTCCAATATCAGGGAAGGATTGGGAAATAAAATAAGAGAATAATTGGGTTAGGTATTTAAATTCTTTAATATAGGAGACTGAGTCATTAGAGAAGGAGCTAAGTCTCTTTTCAATTTGAGAGAAAGGTCAGTCATGAAAAAGGGCACATGGACTCTGATAATGCCGTCAGTTCCTGCCACCTCCTGGAGTGGTACAGGTGGTCTGAGTGTGCTTGGGAGGAGGTATGGGAGTGGGTATGGGACACAGGTGGGGAGGAGAAGGGTGAGGGTATAGCAGGGGCTGAGGGCAAGGCTGGCAGTGTTGGTCCCTGAGGAGCTGATGGCTCAGGGTCAATAGTGACTACTGTAGAAGGAGAATAGGGTGGCAGATGTTTGGGAGAGCCAGCGGGGTGGAAGAAGAGGGGTCTGAGTCATGGGAGGATGAGGTGGGAGAAGAGATTGATGTAGAGGACTGGCAGGAGGAGTTGGGAGGTGGGCAGACAGAATCCATGATGTCACAAGTACGAGAGTTTAGTGGGAGTGGGAGACACAGACTTTGAGAGGGGTTTGTTGCTGGCAAGGAGGATTTGAAAAGCATTACAAGATTGGAGCAGGGAGGGTTGAGAGCAGAGAGAAAGGAAAGCTTGGACAAATGGAATTTCAGATCACTTGCCATTGTGGTGGCAGAAACTGTCAAGACCTAGAAGTGCGTGAAAATCAGAAGTACCGTTTTCAGGCCATTGGGAATGATCGTCTAGCTTGTACTGAGGCCAAACGGCGTTGCAGTAATAAATCAGTCGCTTAGGTTGTATATGGTCTTGGAGACCAAGGGGGAGGGTGCGGAGGAGGCATCCCAGTGGACACATCTAATGTAGAGTAGGAGGTCCCCATAACATAGAAGGAGAGAGAGAGAGAGAGAGAGAGAGAGAGAGAGAGGTGCCTTGGTGAGTTTACTCTTCAGGCCAATATAGATCTAGGTCAAGATCAGCCTCCCTTATGTGACTCAGGCAAGGAGAGCAGAATTGTCTGGTTGCCGTTTGATCATAGTAAACTGGAGGGGCTGTCAAGCTCTCTCACCTTGGGCAGAGGAAAGGAAAACAGAGAGAGAGAGAGAGAGAGAGAGAGAGAGAGAGAGAGAGAGAGAGAGAGAGATGGAGAGGGAAGTGTGTCACCCAAACGGGTTCCCAAGGGCGGGCGTCCCCAGCCTGGGTTGCTGTCCCTAGAGAATGCCCAGTTAACCAGGCGTCTCTGTGCTAAGTGGAGGGCGCCCCAGTGGGTGTAGGAGGCGTGCCTGGCACGGGGCCACGACTACCAGACCAGACAGAGCAGGCAGCCCTGAGGAGGGTGACACTTACTGAGTTTGAGGAGAGGAATAGGTCAGGTGGACAGCAGTGGAAGAGAGATGCTAATGATGGATGGGAAAGCCGGCAAGGCAGTAAGGTCCGAAATCCACAGTCCGGAGGCATGTGGGGTCAATTCAGCAGTCTGGGTTTGGGAGAGGGCAGGACACGAAAGCCAAGGGAGCAGCCCCAGGCCGGAGCGTCCTTCTAACCTCTCCCGGGTTTCAGCTCCAGATGTAAGGTACTGCCGAATTAAGACCACGCCACGTGTGGAAAGGAAAGATTTATTAATCCAGACCACGGGCTGTCACTCTCGGGTTCAGAGTGAAGTGGCTTGGTTGAATTGGGTAGTGGGCTTTATAGGAGGGGCCAAGCCATGGGGGAGGGAGAGAGACTCTGGTCTCCGATTATCTCCGATCACCAGATGGAACAGGTCGCCATGCCTGGCTAGTTGAGTAACTAGAAGCTCCTGAGTTGTTTTGTGAGCCAAGAAACAATCAGGCAGGGAGAAACAAGTGGTCATAAATCAGGGGGTCTGGTTTTAAGGTGTAGCCTTGGGTCCTTCTGCCCGCCCCAAGAATGCCAGGGACCTAACAATACCAAATCCTATAACTCAGGTGCTCAAGATGCCCATCTCACTTAGACCTCGAACAAGCCTCCAAGGTCAGTGGCTGTTCTTGTGAATGAAGAGACTGAGGCACAGTCTCACACTTGGTCAGACACTTGGTAAGGATGTGAGAAAATAGTGGGCACAGACTTGTGGTTGAACACACTTTGGAGTCAGACTGGCTCCCAGTGCCTTCTCTGGCCCAGTTTTGTGGTCTTAAGGAAAACTTTTCACTTAGCTTCAATTTTCCCATCAGCAAACAGAAAGAACAATATTTCACTCGCAGGGCTATTAAAACGATTAAGTAAAATAATGTGTACCTAAAACACAAAAACCAGTACCAAGCTCATTAGCAGTCCTCAGTAAGTATGATCAGGATGGTGACTGCTTTAGAGCCAGGTAAATTTAGAATGCAAGTTCCAGGTGGGATTTTCCTTCTGATAGAGTTCCCCCTTGGGTTTGAATTCCCTGACAAACTTGAATTTGCAGAAGTGTTTTGGGCTTGTGACAAGGCACTACATGAGGTCTACTCCCAGTGAACTGTACAGGTATCTCTCAGTTTTCCAGGTGAGCCTAACTGGATCTTTCCAGTGTGAACAGTCAACATAAACAGCATCACTAGCCCACCATTCAGTTGTTTTCTGCCCCCTCCCCCAAATATGCTGGTTACTGAGAAAATCCTGGCTGTCTAGTGTTAGGGTGCACATAAGGACCATTGACAGATTAATGAATAAGGAAAATGTACAAAGGATATACAGAAACATTATTCAGCCATCAAAAGGAAGGAAATGCTGATACATATTACCACACGGATAAGCTTTGTGGGCATGAAGGGAACTAAGCCAGGCACAAAAGGCCAAACATTAAATGTTCCCAGTGACTTGAGACATCTAAGCACATTCACAGAGACAGAAAGTGGAACTGTAGCTGCTGGGAGCCGGGGAAGGGGAAAATGGGGAGTTTGTGTTTACAGAACAGAGTTTCAGTTTAGGGACATGAAAAATCTTCAGATGGATGCTGGTGAGGATTGCACAGCATTGTGAATTAAAGCCACTTTGCTTATAAAAATAGTCGAAATGTTAAAATGTATGTGATGCATATTTTAGTACAATTTTTTTTTTAAGATGAAGGACATGGAAGATGCCTCAGCCACAGGGGGACAGAGAGACAATTTAGTATTCCCAGGCCAGGCCACTGAAGAGAAAGTGGGCATATGAGGAGGGCTGAGGACCCAGCTCCCCACTCAGGGACGCCTGCAGCAGGTGTCCCTTCATCCCTGGGGCACGGGGAAGCTGGCTGATTCAGATTTCCTCAGTGCCAGCAGACTGTGGTTAGACCTTATTAGGAAGGCTTGCTTCATGCAAAAGATGCAGGAAGAGAACCAGACACACCAAACCTTCACCATACTGGAACTGTCCAGTGCAACTGGAGGACCTTTTGACTTGACCATTCTGCTTGAGAAGAATATACCCTATGAGAATTACTTTGCCAGTGAGGGCCTTGGTCCCCAATCGACACCACTCTCAAATTGAGCCACTATGGACAGTTTGGTAAAAAGTCCACTTACAAAGCTGTGAGCAGGGCCAAGAGAACCAAGAGGATGGGGCTGTGCCTGAGGCTTGCCAGAACAAGACTGTTCCAGCCCTTGGTGCAAAAGTGCCTACAGGAATCTTAGAGAAGCCTTTTAGGGAAGGGTTCCCCTCCATAAGGACAATCGGGAATAAAGGGAGCTGCAGTAAATCAGGCCTCTCTCTTGCCAGGGCCTCCCACCCGCCAAGCCCAACCGGAAGTCACAGGACCAGGAGCCTGCTGGTGAAATCCATCCAGGCCATCCAGGCGCAGAGCGAGAGGGAAAAGCCTATAGCAAAGAAGTGCCAGGAGCAAATGGAGGGGTGGAACCAAAGTGAATCGCACCAGACTCTCCCTATGGCCAGGCAGGGTGACCGGGAAACATGTCTCCTAGCGAACCTAGTGACCTCTCCAGGTGGAAGGCACTGACTCGGGATCAAGCCTCCCATCCCCTATATTCGCCACCTTTGACTCCATTTGTTGCGTTCATCGCCGCGGTTAGGCTGTACGAGCCTTTTTGCAGGCTCGTTCCCTACCCACCTCCCAGCATGGGAGCCCGGGAGAGCTGGTCGCAGGCCTCTTGCTCCTCCCTGAATGCCCAGGGCTTGGGGTGGACTACAGTCCGCGACTGCCGCTGCGGCTGGACCCTGCCACATGGTTTCACTGCACTTATCTTGAACACGGCCCCGGGAGGAAGGCAATAACACCAGGCCCACTTTATAGATGAAGAAACCAAGCCCAGGGTCACAGAGTGGATAAGCGGCAGCAAAGGGCTTGAAACCGGGAGTCCGGTTCATCAGTCCAGCACTGGACCGCGGCTCCCAGGGCGGGGAAGGACGGGGATGCGTCCCGCGTTAGTCACTGAAGAACGGCGGTGCGAGTCCCCCTCGTCCTGGGCAGGCGTAGTGGCGCGACACCGGGACAAAGGGCCTGGCGGGGCCGGACGTGGCCCTTTAAGGGGGACGGGCCGGCGCGCGGGGGGCGGGCCGGGGGCGGGCCGGGGCGGAGGGCGCGCGGAGCTGAGGGCGGCGGCGGCTCGCGCTCGGCCCGGCTCCGGATCGCGGCGCCCCAGACCCTGCGCCCCGCACCGCGCGCGGCCCAGGAGCCAAGGCCATGGCGCCGCGACGCAGCATCGTGGAGGTGAAGGTGCTGGACGTGCAGAAGCGGCGGGTGCCCAACAAGCATTATGTGAGTGCGGCGGCCCCACGCCCCCAGCGCCCGCAAACTTGTGACTCCCGCGGGTCGGGTCTTCCTCCCCTCCTCTCCCCTCCCTGCGCCCCACAGTCGGGGCTCCGCGCTCCTTCCCCTTCTGTCTCCCGTGCCCCCCTACTCCCGGTCCTGCCCGTTGTGAGAAAGTCTGACCCCAGCCGGCGTGGGGGATGGACAGACAGACAGAAGCGCCTGTTCTCAGCCACCCCCCCCCCTTGTCCAGAGGCTCGCAGACTGCGGTGTCAGGCCACAGGTAGCCCTTCGGGGATCCCCAAGTTTGGCACGGTCCTTCCGGGAGAGCCAGCCTGAGCGGTGGGGATCTCGAGGAGCGGACGGATTGAATGCCCCTCTCCAACAACTTCCGTTTAAAAATGCTGGAAAGTTTCCTCCTGGAATCTCCTCTGTAAAGTGAAAATCTTGTTCGGAGCTGACAAGGGGCAGGAGAAAATGGGCCAGTGGCGTCGTTCTGCGCATGGGAAGGCTGAGGCTCGAGCTGCGGGCTCTGGATCACGGAGCTGCACCCAGGCCTCCCCTCCTTCTGGAAGGTGTGACTGGGGTCGCCCTGGCTGGCAGGTGGGAAGTGGGCTTCCAGGCAGCTTAGGTTCAGGCGGCTCTGCACAACCTCGGAGGTGCAGGGTGGAGAGGGACCCCAGAGGGGCGGGGCTCCTCCAGGAGGCCGGGGGATAGTGTCTCTGGTGGTGAGAAGTGGGCAGTAGCAGAGCTAGAAGAGAAGTTAACCGGGAAGGAAAAAAAGAGCAAGAGGGAGGGAAAAAATTCTAACAAAGAAGTGTAGAACAATGACTAGAAAAGGGCGTTGCCTGAAGAAGTGCGGCTCCTTTCTCCCCCCCCCCCCCGGAAGCCCTTAGACCGATTTTTTAAGAGACTCGTTCTTGTTCGTACAAAGCAGATCTACATGCCTTCCATGAGCAGCCCATACAGTTCTGGAAGAAGATGGCCAGGAATCGTCCCCGTACACTGCAAGAAAGAGTGCAGTGTGAGCCTGTATTGTTATTGGCTGGGCAGCCAGTTACTCAGCCAAGCTTCCTGCACTTGTGGGCATCCTTAAGATTCCCCAGCTCAGCTAAATCGTCTTGGCTTTTTTCTTCCCTGCTTCCTCCCACCCCCAGCTGTTTCAAATGCTGCCAAATCTTGTTAGAGCCTGTTGGGTGTGTCCACCAGTTGCCTCTTTGGTATGGGTGGTGGTCACCAGCGTGGCCATGGGAAGAAGTCTGGACTTCTCCAGGCCATCTCTCGCCAGGTCTGTGAGCTGGCAAAGCCAGGACAGAAACAGCCACCAAGGAGTGGAATCATTGCCACTCTCCTGTCCTCTCCCGTCACATACATTCAGGTGACAGTACTTAGCCCATTCACAGATGAGGAAGCTAAGGCTCAGAAAGCCAGGAGCAGAGCAGTGATGTAAACCCAGATCTGTTGCACCTGAAAGGTGTTGATCCTCCAGACCACACCACTGGCCAGATCCCACACCTGGATGGTTTCCTTGGGAAAAGTCCTCTCACAACCTGGGAAGAAGCCAGAACACAAGTCTACTTAAACACAGAGTTCAGACCTTGGCCTTGCAGCTTTTGTGCAACCCTCTGAACGTTGGTTTCCCATCTGTAAGATGGGTCAGTGTTGCCCACTCCCAAGGGGGGATTCTGTAACAGCTAGCTGCCCATCTGCCTTGTGGTGTCTGTGCTCCTCTGGCTGGAAACACTGAAGTCACATGGAAGGGGTATTTCCCCAAGAACTTGTTTCCCTGCATGTGGGTTTAGTCACTCCTGTGATTCAACCCTGCCCCTGTCCCTGCCTTTGGGCTCATCAGATGGGGAGGGGTGACCTGGAGCCTGAGTCATCCACAGGAGTAGAAATTTTAAGGCTGTGGTATCAGGGGTTCAAATCCAACAGCAGCACACAGCACCACCACTCCTGTCCCCAAACCCCCACCCTGTCACACACTTCAGAAGGTATGGGCATGGAAGCAGCTATTGGCTTGGACTTTGACTCCAGTTTGGTGTCCCTCTTTCTGAAGCCACTGTGGAGAGTGCATGAACAGGGGATCTGCACAGTCCTGGGTTTTCACATTTCCTGCTGTGTGACCTTGAATGATTGGTTTACCTCTCTGAGCTCTGTTTTCTGTGATCAAATTGTAAATGTTGCTGCATCCCTCTGGGGCCAAGCTTGTCAAGTTCAGTACTGCTGACGTTTGGCAGGTCATTCTCTGTGGGGGGCTTTCCTGTGTTTTATAGGGTGATTAAGCAATACCCTGGCCTCTACCCACCAGATACCAATAGCCTCCCTCTCCCCAGTTGTGATGACCAAAAGTGTGTCCAGGTATTGATTGCTATGTGTGCCCTTAGGGATTTTCCATTTCAACAACAAAATAGCTGAGAGTGGGTGCTTTGTAAAGAAGAGACTTATTTGGCTTACAATTTGGGAGGCTGAAAGTCCCAGATTGAGCAGCCCCATTAATTTGGCCTGGTAAATGTCCCTGATAATGTCATAACATGGCAGACAGTGAAATGATGGGGGGGCGGGGCCCTGTGTGAGAGGGAGGGGTCACATGGTAAGACAGGAAGCCAGAGAGACCAAGGAAGGGCCAGTCTTGCTTGTCTACAACAACCCCCTCTCGAAGGTACTTAGTGGGGTCCCGTGATAATGACCTTAATCCCTTCCTATCCAAGGGCAGCACCCAGTAATCTAACCACCTCCACTCAAGATCCCACCACCTCTTACATCACCACACTGGGGATCAAGCTTCCATCATATGAACCCTTACAAGCCATGGCAGGGACATCACACATCCCCTACCCCATTTACGACACTATGAAATAGAATATGCAACTTAGTATAGAAGGGTCCTGGTCATGTTGCCCCTCTCTCCATTTGCAGCTACCTTGGCCACCATCTGCTCACCACTCAGTTGCCTGGCGGGGGGGGGGGAAGTGGTCATAGATGCTGTGGGTATCATTGGAGTACTGCCCACTAGGGCTGGGTCCATCAGGGCTGGGCCTTTTGCTCCACCTGCAGAGCATCTTCTCCATGTCAGGACAGCAATAGCCATCATGTCTTCTCCAGCACTAGCACAGCCACCTTCACTTGTGGGCAGGGACACCCTCAGTGGGCCCAGAGGCAGGGTGACAGGCCAGGTGTGGAGGATGCTGAGGGTTTCAAAATGAATGGGAAGGAGGCTTCTGAGGGTGACATAATGGGGAGACCCTTCCTGCCTAGGTTGTCTTCTGGCTTGAGTAAGAAGGAAGGGCTCCCTGCAGAATTGGGGGTCACCTGGGGTCCCTGCCCCCTTCCCAGAGAAGGAACACACAGAGCTCTCTTGCTGGAGAGCTTTCAGTGTCAGGGTAGGGGTGCTAGTCATAGCAGCTATGGTAATGACAGCCAGATGCGTCATCACCCAGGCAGTGTCCTGGATTAAGTGTCCTGTGTGTGTTGGTCACAATAGCCCTTTACTATTCATATTTTTTCATTATATGAATCCAGTATTTCAAATATACAAATACAGAGAAGAGTAAAATAAGCACCTTTCACTATACCTTCCAGTTTATCCATCCCTACATTTTGCCATATGCATTTCAAATGCTTTTATTTTAGCTTTTTAAAAAAAAAAAAAATAAGCCATCACGGGTATAAAACCCGTGTCCCCTCTCCAATGCCATGCCTCCTCCCCCTAAAACCAGCATCCTGCATTTGATTTTTAGCACTTCTGAAACAGACTAATAGAGATTATTTCTTTAAGCTATAATTTACAAACCACAAAATCCACCCGTGGTAAGCATACAGTTCACTGACCTTTTTTTAAGTAAATGTATAGTTTGAGCAGTCATCACCCCCATTCAGTTTGTGCCACCCCATCACCCCTAAAAGACCCTTTGCACCACTTGTGGTCAGTGTCCTTCCCATCCCACACTAGGTAGCTTTTCGTGTTTTTATCTGTTAACACTCCCCCAAATCCTGTGTTACTGTGAGTATTCTGAAGCTGCACAGACACACTGCACGCGTAAGATCTGTGCTGACAACAGTCCCTCGAGAGCTTTTAACTTCTGCTGCTTAGTAGTCTATTGATAGATGGCCCCTCCTCCTCAGGTCCCTGCTGGAGGCTTTATGATGCTCTTAGTCCTCCACCTGCTCAGAGTCTCAGTAGAATTGCTGCGTCTTGGGGTTTGTACAGTTTCAACTTTGCATTCAAGTCCCCAGGAGCAGTATGGGGGGATTCCCTCTGCCCAGTGCCCTGTTGACTCTCGGTGTTGGTGGTCTGATCTGTTCTGTGCAGTATTAGCCATAGTGATGGGATAGGCAAGGGCCCCTTCCCGCCTGCAAGTGAGCTGAGCAGCTTTTCACACCATTATTGGCCACCTGAGATTCCTCTTCTTGAATTGCCTGTTTCTATCCTTTGCCTCTTTTTCAATATATTCTGTTATACATTGTCTCTTGATTTGAAAGATTTCTTTATACATCCAGGATACTAATCTTTTTAGATAGCTGCATTAGTGTTCTTGGCTTCCCTGGAGGAGACTGGAGGCCCAAAGAAGTAGAGTCCTGTGCCTGGCTATGTGGAGCCTGAGCTAGATATCATTGTGTCTGGGAAAAACAGAGCAGCCCGGTGATCCCACCACTAAGCTGAGTGACCTTGGGTAGTCAGCTCACGTATGCTGCTGGGCTCAGTTTCCCCTTACGTGAGATGTCAGGGTCATCCTGGGCCCTTCTGTCCTCTCACTGAGTGCAAGTCACCTCCAGCCCTTAAGTCACTCTCTCTGTAGGGAAGGTCATGTGGGTTTTGTCCATTGAGTGATGGCTAGGCAGGACCTGTGCTGCCTGCTTTGAAACGTCTCTCCCTGGTTTGCTGTCTCTTTGCTGATCAGCGAACCCAGCGTATTAAGTTGAGACTCTGCTGGGAACCTCATCTGCTGATTCCCATCTTCCTAGTCCCACTGTCCTGTGACTGGGGACCTTGTTCACTGAACCTTAGC